AGCTCCATGTCCTGACTTTCCCTTAGAATTCCAATCTCATTTCATTTAATTTCTGTCCCAATATTTGCATGATTTGGCCATTGAGGACAGGTCTGATTGAGCCTCGCACACATGTGGTTTAGAGGGTCTGACAGCAGTTCCCACGTTACGTCAATAGTCATGTGCGTCTATTATCAACGAGTGTGTTATCATACAAGATATATAGAAGTATGACATAAACCACGGGGCAGGAGCTGAGCTCTCAGGTGTGTGGCCTACTATTAGTTGCAATTTGGTGCACAACGGATGTAGTGTCTGTGTTTATTGGGGATGCAGTGTGTTTGTGTGTAAGGAATAGAAAGCAGTGTGTGTTTGTGTGTAAGGAATACATTGTGTGTTTCTAGGTGTGTGTGTGTAAGGGATGCAATGTGTGAATCTATGTTTGTGTAAGGATCTTACTTGGAGGTGGGAGTCCAAAGTGATGAGTTAAGGCACACCCTTGCAGTTTAACACAAACTGAGGAGACTCAAGGAAGAAATCTCCAAGGTTGTGAAACAATGCACTGAGGTTTTGCAGGAAAAGTACTCCTGGATACGCAGAACAGACAAGGGAAATCTAAAAGAGTAGACACGTACAGTTCCAATGGTGAGGGCAGGCGGAAATCAGACAAATACGATAAACATTTCTGAATGTCAAAGCAGTTTCCAAGACAGGAACAAAACGATCTGACCAGGAGGAAGAGGCAAGGTAGGGCTTATAAAGGTAGCTAATAAGCTACTTAACCAGGAACCACGTGCAGGTGTGATAGTAGTCCAGGCTTAGAGGTACCATACCATAGATACCATAGCATGAGTAATAAACATGAACTTGAATGAACATGAGAATTGGCAATTAGGTAACATCACTGATTGGGATGAAGAAAACCCAGGTTCAATCCCAGCCAGGCCCTGAGAAGTGATGTCCATGCCTGGCAGTCTGCTTTGCATATTGCGAACTGTGACAGTTTGTATGTGAAAGGGATGCAAGGTGTGTTTCTGTGTATGTAAAGGATGCAGTGCGTGTGTGTGTAAGGGGTGCATTGAGTGAGTGTTATATACATTGTGTTTCTGTGTGTAAGAGAAGCAATGTGTGTAAGTGTGCATAATAAAAGCATTGTGAGTTTTTGTATGCATTGCGTGTGTGTGTGTGTGAGGGATTAATTGTGTGTGTAAAGGAAGCATGGTGTGTTTGTGTGTCTTTGTATGATTCACTGTATGTTTCGGTGTCTGAGTAGGGATGCATTGTTTGTTTATGTGTATGTGTGTAGTGTGAAAGAGATGGTTTGAAATTATATTTATTTTGTTAGTATAATTTTTTTGTATATTTTTTTCTTTAAGTTTTGTGTTTTACACCCCACTTTAGTGTATCTCTTACAAGCCCCTTCTGTGTCTCTTAACCCGCTCCTCTCTATGCATGTCTCCTACATCCTCCCAACCCCTTTGCATGTCTTACTCCCCCCAGCTGCCCGTGGGCCCCGCTGCCCTCAACTATTTTTTGCCCCATGGGGCCGCCGGCAAGCACATTAAAGAGGCCACAGGGTGGGTATATGTAAGCAGGGGCCCGGTCACACGCTGTAGCCCTTTAACAAAGGGACCGGGCCCTTTGCATTTCGGCAGCGCCGGGAGGAAGTGACGGCCGCAAATCACTTCCTCCCAGTAAGGAGAGGATCGGCGTGGGAGACGAAGGAGGGGGCCTGGGTCGGGAGAGGCAGATCTCAACTCCTAACAGCCTCAGCCTCCAGTCTGGACACCGGGGAAACCACCCTCCAACGTGGGTTTAAGAGGGTGGGTTTAAAAGTGTAAATTTATATCAGTATGCTTGTGTGTGTATGCCAGTATGTCTGTGTGTCTGTGTCAGTATGTCTGTCAGTGTATGTGTCTGTGTTTGTGTCAGTATGTCTGTCAGTGTATGTTTATGTCAGTATGTTTGTCAGTGTATGTGTCTGTGTCAGTATGTCTGTCTGTGTATGTCAGTATGTCTGTGTATCTCTGTATGTCTGTCATTGTATATGTCTGTCAGTGTATGTGTGTGTGTCAGTATGTCTGTCATTGTATGTCTCTGTGTATGTGTGTCAGTATGTCTGTCAATGTGTGTCTGTCAGTGTATGTGTCTGCGTGTGTGTCAGTATGTCTGTCAGTGTATGTCTCTGTGTATGTGTGTCAGTATGTCTGTCAATGTGTGTCTGTCAGTGTATGTGTCTGCGTATGTGTCAGTATGTCTGTCAGTGTATGTCTCTGTGTATGTGGGGTAGAGTCCAGGGCCTGGTCAATATTAAAGATGGCCCTGCACAGTGCAATATGTCAGAAAGCAGGTACTGAGGGGGAGTGTGAAAGGAAATTACGTCCCTTCTTACTAGTGCTTCCTCGTACATCACACCACATAGGCGCTGATCTGTCAGGTGGGAGCTACTCTGTAATGCTGGAAACTGAGCTGTGAGACGAGCATGTAATGAAGCTGTTGAGGGGGAGAGGGAGATGAAGCTGGCAGGAAATTAGGGAGATTAAGCTGGTAGGAGAAAGAGAGATTGAGCTTTGAGGAGAGAGGGAGATGAAGATAGAGAGAGGGAGATGAAGCTCGTTGTCAGAGGGAGATGGGACTGGAGAAGAGAAAGGGAGCTCGGGGTGAGAGATAGCTGGAAGTTAGAGGAAGATGGAGAGGACAGAGGGAGTTGGAGAGGAGAGACGTAGTTAGAGAAAAGAGAGGGATGGAACTGGGGTGAGATTGAGATGGTGAAGGTAGATGGAGCTAGGAGTTAGTGGGAGATGAAGAGGAGAGAGTAGGATGGAGCTGGGGGAGGGAGGGATGTAGTGCTGAAGAGGAGAGATGGAGATGGGAAGAGGGGGATGTGGTACTGGAGAGTATAGATGGAGCTGGGGGAGAGAGTGTGGTGGAACATGGGGAGAGAGGGAGAGGGAGATGAAGCTGGGGGAGTTATAGGAGTGAGGGAAGTGGAACTTGGGGGGAGAGAGGGAAATAGAGTTTAATGGAAAATATTCAATAGTTTTATTGTTAGTGGATTTATGAGTATTATGCAGGCCTTGAGCTTTGTAAGGGGCCCCAAAATTTCTGATGGCAGTTTTCCATTTTGCCACAAGGCTTGTTTAGGAAACACTTTAAAGCAGAGGTGTCAATTACAAATCATGGTGAACAGAAAAACAAAAGGTGAAAGCGCACAAACAGTGGAATATTTTACCTTTAAAATCTTGTATAGGTCCTATTTTCAGTAACAGACAGTAACTGTGGATCCTGTATATAATATATACTAGAAAACAACATAGTGTATACTGTTGAAACCTATTTACAATATGTAGAGAATAAAAAAGGTTCACTCACACTTTCCAGAGCCACATAAGTTAGGCTCTGGACTGTAAAGGTATTTCATCCACAAAGGGATACACACTCACACTTTGCAGAGCCACATAAGTTAGGCTCTGGACTGTAAAGGTATTTCATCCACCAAGGGATACACTAACCTTTTTTATTCTCCACATATTGTAAATAGGTTTCAACAGTATACACTATGTTGTTTTCTTGTTGTTGTTTGTTTTTACTATGTATTTTAAGCTGTTGGATACTAAGCTACTGCTGCTGTAATCTTTGTGTCGGTCCATAGTTACTGTCTGTTGCTGAAAATAGGACCTATACAAGATTTTAAAGGTAAAATATTCCACTGTGTGTGCGCTTTCACCTTTTTTTTTTCTGTTCACTATATCTTTCATTTGGTGTAATAAGTGACTGTACACCGAGGTGTTTTTAAGCTGCACCAGTTGTAGTATTTTGTGTATAGCGCCCTTTTCCCTTCTATTGTGTATTTCTTGAGTTACAAATCATGTTTATTTGCTCACCTAGACCATATGCCTTTCTTTTGAGGAAATCAAACTTTTACCCATATGCACACGTACTGCACTATGGCAAGAAATACCCTGCAGATGCTCAAGCACCCTAGGAGCATCATGGGATCATGACCTCACTCTGGGCATTGTAATGCTGTGAAGATAAGTGTGTGCTTTATTTTGTATGTTTTTTTGCTTACCTCCACTGCCCTCCTCAATCTAGTAAACAACGAAATAGCACAGGACCATCTTTAAGCCAGGTCAAAAGAAGTGGTCGTTTAGAACATATTAATCTGCAAGGGGGCACAGAGTAACTGTGACTTGTGTCCTCTATATATCCACTATTTGTATAAATATAAAGGATATAGAAATAGATTTTAAAAATACCATACTATTTTGAATCTATGATATATTGGGAACATGTGTTGAAGGGGCCACAGGTTAAGTCTTGCTAAAACACTATTGACATTAAATACAAGCCTGTAATACAGATCATTGTGGTGGGGGAATTAGGAACTGTTACTTCTATACGTGAGAAGTGACAGTTCCTCCTTAAAATGTACTACCATATTGAGATATGGAGAATTGTGGTTAGAACATGAAATACAATGTTGCTTTTACATCTAAGGCATTGTTTAAACTTGGCATTATCAGATAATGTTATCTAAGTTTAACAGCCTGGGTCAGCTTCCTTAGTTTCCTCACACATGTGGATACACACTTTCTGACCCATGCAGACACACTCACATTGATGCATGCAGACACACATACTGACCCATGCAGACACACACACTCACTCTGACCCATGCAGACACACACTTACTGATCCATGCAAACACACTCACACTGACCAATCCACACACACTCACACTGATTATTATTATTTAGAAAGCGCCAACATATTCCGTAGCGCTGTTCAATGGCTGGAATAACAAAAATGTATTTGTCACCAGACACACAGGAACAGAGGGATTGAGAGCCCTGCTCAATAAACTTACATGCCAGAGAGAGTGGGGTATAGTGACACTAAAGGTAAGGGTAGGGTAGAAAAGTAGGTTGCTGGGATCATATTCACAGAGGGCTTAGTGTTTTATTCCATGACAGTCTCAGGAGAGGAATCAGGGTGCGGGGAGAGAAAGCTGTTCACAGTTTAATTGATATGCTTTCCTGAAGAAGTAAGATTTCAAAGATTTTTTGAAGGAGTGGAGACTGAGTGAAAATCTAACATAGAGGGGAAGGGCATTCCATAGGAATGATGCAGCACTAGAGAAGTCTTTAAGGTGAGCATAGACGGTAGGATTATGAACATGCGAGATGTAGGTCTTCTGCAGAGTGTAGTGGCCTAGACGGGACATATTTGTTAATTAGTGAGGATAAATAGCATTTATCGGAGCAGCATTGTGTAGAGATTTGTAAGCAAGTACTAAGATCTTAAATTGAGCCCTATATCTTACTTGAAGCCAGTGTAGGGACTGACAGAGGGGACAGGCGTGGGAGGTGCGGGCAGACTGGAAGATGAGTCTCACCGTGGCATTCATTATGGACTATAATGGGGCATTACAGTAGTCAAGGCAAGAGAGGGCAGTGGCATGGACAAGCACCTTATCCGCATAAGGCGGATGTGCGCTATGTTTTTGAGATGGAAGTGGTAGGATTGATTGGACATTAGGGGTGAAGGTGAGGTTGGAATCAAAGAGAACAGCTAGGCAGCAAACCTATGAGGTAGAGCTGGTGGTAGAACCATTGACTTGGAGGGAAACAGACAAGGGAGCATCAACACTTGAGGGAGGGAAGACCAGAAGTTCTGTTTTGGACAGGTTGAGTTTAAGGAAATAAACAGCCATCCAATTGGAAATAGCAGAGAGGCAGTCAGAGACAGAAGTCAAGATGGGTGGTGAGAAATCAGGGGAGGGCAGATAAATTTGTGTGCCATCCACCTAGAAATTATTCTGGAACCTGAAGGAGCTGGAACCTGAAGGAGCTGATGAGTTTACCAAGGGATGCAGTATAGTTTGAAAACAATAGAGGACCAAGGACAGAACCTTGGGCAACACCAACAGAGGGGGATTGGGGAGAAGAGGCAAAGCCAGAAAAAGAAACACTGAATAAGCGCTGGGAGAAGTAGGAAGTAATCTCATAGACTGAGAATACATAGGTTGAGAAGAAGCTGTTGATGATCAACAATGTCAAAAGCAGCAGGAAGGTCAAGGAGAATTTGGATAGAGTAGTGGCCATGGAATTTTGCAGTGATAAGATCATTGGATACTTTGGTCACAGCTGTTTCAACAGAGTGATGAGTGCGGAATCCAGATTAAAGTGGGTCAAGCAGAGAGTTTGGATTCAAGGAAGTCTGTCAATCGCGCATACACAACTCTTTCAAGGATCTTGGAGGCAAACAGCAGTAACGAGGTAGGGCGGTAGTTGGACAGGGAATTAGGGCCAAAGTTTGACTTTTTCAGAATCGGGGTTATGGTTGCATGTTTGAAAGGTGGCTGATATATGCCAGAGGAGAGGGAGAGATTGAACTTTTTTTTTAACATTTGTATTTTATTGTAGGTTTTCACAGTATATATATTCAATACATAGTTACAGCTCAGTGAAATGAGAACATGAATACAAAGTCATTAACACAGTATGATGACAGTACATTATGAGTGACTGAGGACTACATACAAAATGTGAAATGAGCTCTGGTTAAGAAGATTTCAGAGTCCACTCTACAGACCTTCATTTATCCATATGTTTCCTACATAGAAGGAAACATTGTAGAAATAAAAATAAAAATCATACATAACAAAAATGTAATCTGTCTGACATAACAATAGGTTTCTAAGATAATCTCATCTGCACTCCTCTTATGGTGTGCTGACAGGTGTCTTTCCTAGCCATTTTGGCCACTTGTACAGGGTCTAGCTTGTATCTCCCTGCTAGTGTCCATCATGTTGAGTCAGCAGCTCTTACTGCATGCCTATATTACCCTGTGTGACCCCCTCTTGGCTGTACAGTCTCTCCCACTTTCCACACGTCTCCTGGAACTGTTTTGTTGTGCGGGCAGAGTCATATGACATCTTTTCATAGACATAGAATTGTTGGACTTTATCTTTTAGTTGCAAAAGGGAGGGTCTGTGTTTGTGTCTTCCAATGTAAAGCTATGAGATTGCGAGCTGCCATTAATATCAAGGCTATCAATTGTCTGTTGCCGCATTCCACACTCTGTGGGAACAATAGAAGGAGGCAAGAGGTTATGGACATAGGGAAGTCCATGATACCCAAGAATTCCAACAGGCTCCCGACATCCCCCCATAATGGCTACATGGAATACTGCTACATGTCCAATAGATGTGGAGCATAGTGCCCTCCTCCGATGAGCACCTCCAATACTCTGAGGTAATGGTGGGAAAAATCTTGTGTACCGGTATGGTGTCATGTACCACCTGTATAGTAATTTCCTATGTGCCTACACGTGGGAGTAACACTTTGTCCACTTTTTTATTTTATTGAGGGCCCATAGCCAATCCATATCCAACAGTGCTGTACCACTATCGGTCTTCCAGGGGCTTCTACAGGCCAGGGGTTTGCTAAGCTCCAGCCAAGCGCCATAACATAGAGAGAGAGCCTTTCGTTTAGTCGGGGCTACCCAGCATCTGAGCCACTAGCGGTGTGGATAGAGTATCAGTAGTCAGGGTGGTGGATGTGAATTGGATATGTGCAGTGATTATGCCTTTCAGTTGTAGGTATGGGAAAATGTCGCATAATGGGACCTTCCACTCCATGAAGGGTAGTATAGCTTGTCCCTCACACAGTTGGTAAATTTGGGAGATCCCCAATTAGTTCCATCTGCCTATGGGAATTGTTGGATTCACTGTCCTAAGTGCCGTTATTGGGGACCTTGAGTGGAAACATTTCCCCATCCCATGGAGGACATGTATTCATCCCAGGCTTTGAGGGTTGCTGCTGTTGTGGGATATATATCTGCTATCGGGCCTCAAAGGGTTTTAGGTGTCTACATAAGATCAGTTAAGGCGTGGTGGCAGAGTTGGTCTTGCTCCATATCCACTCATTGGATCCCGCAATGGGGGGCCTGTAGGGTTATTTCCGCTGCAAGCAGTGAGGCTTTGTAATATAGCCACACATTAGGGAGACCAATGTGCCTCCTGTATGTGGTGTCTATTGTAGGAGGCTTAAGGGCAGTCTGGGTCTTCTTCCGTCCCAGATGTAAGAGCCACAAATAGCTTGCATAGATTTGCAGAGCGCCCTCGGTATCCCCACAGGTAGCATCCTGAAAATGTATAACAATTGTGGCAGTAGCATCATTTTGTAGGCATATACCCTCCCCAACCTGGAAAGTTTTGCATGTTTCCACTTAAGGATTTTGGTTTTGCAACTCAGTAGGAGTGGTTTATAGTTGTGTTTTACTATACCTTCAATAGAGGGGGTGATTTTTACTCCTAAATAAGTGAGAGACGATGTTCGCCAGTCTAGTTTGGAGAGTGAAAATTTTAGTGCAAAATTTTAGACAAACTGCGGATGAGATACCAGGGAAAATGATTGAGGGCACAGGTAGTGGGACAGGAGGAATGGAGCAGAGCAGAAACCTCTTCTGCTATAGCAGGTGCAAAATGAACATAGGACAGCTGAGGGAGTGTGGTTGGGAAAAAAATTGGTAGGGGATCGAGACAGATGAGAGATCTTTTCCCTGATTGTAGAAATCTTCTCAGTGAAGTGAGTTGCAAAGTTTGTGGCGATCAAGTTGGTGGTCAAGAAAGTTAAAAGCATGAAACAGGAGTTTGGGTTCACGGAAGAGAGTGGTTAGGAGGGTGTTAATGTAGTTTTCTTTTGAAGAGGAAAGAGCCAGACTGTAGAAGTGCAACATAAATTTATAGTGGAGGAAGTCAGATGCAGAGTGAGACTTTCTCCAGGAGCGTTCAGCAGTTCTGGAACATTTGTGGAAGTATCAGGTCAGCTTGGTGTACTAGGTTTGTAATTGGGGACGCTTGCTGCGCTTAAGTGTAGGAGGTGTCATGATCATCCATGCAGACACACACACTGACCCATGCAGACAAACAGTGACCCATGCAGACTCACACGTAAATGCAGACACGAACACTGACCCGTGCAGACACACTCACATACACACTGACCTATGCAGACATGGCCGGACTGGAAATAAAAAGAAGCCCTGGAACATTTTGATACCCTATCATTAATTGTGCCAGCTGTAACAGATATGCATATAGAAAAAAACAAAAGATTGAAAATTAATTAACCAACAAGAAGGCGTGCACTCACGGGACTTAAAATAAACAAAAGAGCTGTTTTATTCTTATCAGATGTGCAACATCTTACTTCAACATTTCATCCCATAAACCTTGAAAAGTCCAGTAATGAGAATGAAACATTGACTGAATGCTGCTGCGTGTCTAATAATATTTTTTGTGAATGAAATTTGTAAATTGCAAAGTTAAGGCTACAATAATCAAGCTGCTACTATAGCTAAGTTGGACAATTTTTCAAATTCGCTCTTTTCGTTTAAATTCTGCAATTTACATTTTCACTTCCTAAAATTAAAAATTTAGGGAAAACCCTTTGACAAATGTGAAACCCTTCTTACATTGTATATATGTGTGTGTAATTTCCAAGTGTATTAAGCATGAATATTATAAACATAATAATTTATAAAAAAATATGTGTTCGAGAACTTTTGATTTAATGTTTGAGTAAACACTACTTTGTTTAAAAGACCTCAGAGTGCAACCTTTCTTCAATTTTCGATATATATTTAACGCGGGACTGCACCAAGGAACGTATCTGAGTAATTAAAGGAACACTATACAGGTGATACTCGAAAAATTAGAATATCGTGCAAAAGTTCATTTATTTCAGTAACGCAACGTCAAAGGGGAAACCCCAAATCCACAATCTCAGTAAATTAGAATATTACATGCAGTCAATAAAACAAGGAGTGTACATAGAACAATATCGGACCTGAAAAATATAAGCATGCATATGGACTCATTACTTGGTTTGGGCCCCTTTTGCAGCAATCTCTGCCTCAATGCGGCATGGCATGGAAGCTATCAGCCTGTGGCACTGCTGAGGTGTTATGGAAGACCGGGATGCTTCAATAGTGGCCTTCAGCTTTTCTGCATTGTTCGGTCTCATGTCTCTCATCTTTCTCTTGGCAATGCCCCATAGATTCTCTATGGGGTTCAGGTCAGGCGAGTTTGCTGGCCAATCAAGCACAGTAATCCCACGGCCATTGAACCAGGCTTTGGTGCTTTTGGCAGGGTGGGCAGGTTCCAAGTCCTGCTGGAAAATGAAGTCAGCATCCCCATAAAGCTCGTCTGCAGAAGGAAGCATGAAGTGCTCCAAAATCTCCTGGTAGATGGCTACGTT